AATGTGTTGACAAAGATGTTCACTGAAAGCCAAAAGAAGAGGTAAATATGGTGGAGGATGTGCAACCCATATCAAATGAAGACTTTGAGGAAGCAAACTATGTCAACAACTCTCAAGGAGGATATCAAAGGCAGCAATACCAAGGTCAAGGACAACAAAATCAATGGAGGCCTAACCCGCAAGGGCAAGGCAACCAACAGTGGCGAAATGACCAAGGTAGCTCAAATCAAGGAAATTGGAATAACAACAACAACAACCTCTCAAATCGGAGTTCAAACCCTTATGTTCCACCAAAGGGTCAATATTCAAATCAAGGGTCCTCAAGTGATTCCAAGTTGGAAAGCATGCTTGAACGGGTATTGCAAAATCAAGAGAGGTCCGATACTGCTATGAGGAATATGACCAAGCTTGTGGGTTCTCACACCGCATCCATTCAAAAATTGGAGATGCAAATGAGAGACCTCTCTAGGGAACAAAATCCAAAGCAAAAGGGAACCCTTCCTAGTGACACAATTGCGAACCCAAAGGGTAGTGGAAGTGGTCCAACTTCTCATATCATGGCAATTACTACTCGGAGTGGGAAGGTACTACAAGGAGAGAGTGAACAAGTGGTTGAAGTAGAAGAGTCCGAACAGGAAGTAGAGGTNCTGGAGTTCGATCTACCCTCCTTCATGCCCAAGGAAGGAGAGCAGGGAGCGGGCACGTCCGTGGCTGGATTAGATCTTGATTTTTCCACTCTGATGACAGCTTCTGCACCTCAGACTGTTGGGGCTTCCTAGACTCCAGCTTGCACTGCACACATTGACATCCCTTTTGGGGAAGATTCCGGACACTCTGTAGAGTCCGAAGGTAGGGAGACGGGCGAGGGGGAGACTGATGAGGAGTCATGGTCCAAGGAAGATGAGGGCCCTCAGGAGAAAGACAAGCAGGTTGCTGCCCCTACAGTTGCAGAGGAGGAAGAAGCAGCTGTTCATAAGGTGATAGAACATTCGCTAGCAGGCATAGTCGTCCAAGACAATCCATCGACCACTCAGCTATCAGCAGGCGAGGCTAGCAGCTTACAGGATCCAGCTCCAGTGTCGAGGCAGTTGGAGACTCCTCCTCCATTAGTGGAGATCACTCCTCAGGCCGAGATCTCATCGGTCCCAGCTCCAGCATCAGAGGGTGACCCCACCATCATTCAGCCAGCTTCTGACTCCCATAACGCTTAGTGTGCCTCAGGGAGCCCCTAAACTCTGTCTTACATTCTTATGCATTGGGGATAATGCATGTTTTTCAGTTGGGGGTGGGATAGCCTTGTACAAACTTTTTGAAATCCTTGAACTGTTGTACATGTTTTTGTGTTATATAAGCAAATTTCTCGGTAACTTTTGTATATACTTGTGTTGTACTTTGTACATATGTTATACTTTGATATAAAAAAAAACCAAAAACAGTAAATAGTTGGATTCATGTTCATCTTTAGCAATTAGCAATGAATTCCCCTTGGTTTTTCTTCGCCGGATTCTTTTCCAAGGGTGTAATAGTAGAACCATGGCAGTAGGATGGAACATTTTGACCAATTTGGTGTAATTGTCTAGTTTCAAGCATGTATGCCTGTAAATAGCCTATACAGTTCCATTAATATAAAAAAATCAACTGTGTGAACTTGAGGCTCGCTCTTTGACTCTATATTACCTAGAGCTATACATGTAAATATGATGAAAGCTTCAAGTTGCCAAGTGTTGACTCGAGGGCTAAAACTATGTTGAGTCAAACAGTTCGTGTGCCATGTGTGTGAGTCTTTGTATAAATAATTCTTTTGTTTACTTCTGTCGTCTAGAACTTGCCAGATTGGTCTTTCGATGCTAATGATAATTACATTTGGTTGGAGAAATGACCTTAGATAGTCTTTGTGATATTGGAAAGCCCAGTTAGCCTTTCAAGCTACCCATTGTATAGATATTATCACTAGTTACCCCATTTGAGCCTTTAACCTTTTCTTTGGCCACCTCATTACAAACCTTTCCCCTTTTGTAAAATAATTCCCTCTTTTGAACCCGTCCCTCCTTGAACATTGAGAATGAGGCAAAAAGCCTATGTTGGGGGTGTGGTGTCAAAGTGAAAATTGGTAAGGTTGTACATTGAGTGTAGGAACACATACCTTAAAGTGTTCATATGAAACTATTGAAGCTCCAAAAGAAAAAAAAATACAAAAAAAAAAATTAATACAAGAGAAAAGAAGAAAAAGAAAAGAAAAAGAGATGTATGTGTATATATATATATATATATATATATATATATATATATATATATATATAGGTGGTTCAATGTTGGAAATTAGGGGCTAATGAGGGCTATGTGGTTTGAAAAGAAGCAAGGAGCAACAAGAAAGAAAAATGTGAGTAGCGTTCAAGTAGGGTGTAGTCACTTGTACCCAAATGTTTATCCGACCCTTCCCTAAACCTACATTAAAAAGCTTAAAAAGTCCTTATGGGATCTCCAACCAAACGTTCTTAGAATAAAACGACGAATTAAAATAAGGGCAAGCCTATGGCATGGCATGTTGTAACACTTGAAACTCTTTTTGAGAGTGAGTGTCTTTGTGAATCTGTCCCTTTTGTTGTCATTGTAAATATTGTGAGTTTGGGACTTTCTTTCTAGTGAGGGCACATGAATTGTGAGGTTGGACAGAAGTTGAGTTCTTGAAGTCGAATGCAAGTGCACTCAGCCGAGAGTAACATTTTGTCAAATTAGTCAAGGCTCAAGGTTCACAAGTTGATTAGTTTCTTTGTAAATAACAATGATTGTTCAGGAAGGGTAAATAAACGGAAGTGCATGCTTGTAGTACTGACAACTAACACCATCGACGGTCACTATTGTTTCATATCGTTTAGCTGGAGTCTAGAATAGGATAGTGTCGTTTTAGTTGCTTGAGGACAAGCAAGAGTTTAAGTTGGGGGTGTTGATGTGCCGGGGAATTTCGGCACATTTAATACCAATTGCTTAGTTTTTAGCTCGTTTTAAATGCAATTATCTTTATACTTATGTAATTTTAATGTTTTGCAGCATATGAGGCTTAAGGACCCAAGAACATAGAAATGAAATCAAAAAGCCGCAAAAGGACATGAAAAAGGCAAAATGCGATCGCAAATCCAACATGCGGACCGCATAATGCTCAGAGGGACCGCAAAGTCCAACAGTCTGTTTGGCCAAATTCAAGCGCAAGAAATGCGGTCCATTATGCGACTGCATAACAGGTTTGCAGGCCGCATAATGGATCGCAAACCCCTTGTAAAAGTTGCTGATGTCTGAAATGCGGTGACATTATGTGGTCGCAAATCAAAAATGCGGACCGCATAACCAAAATGCGACGACTACCTGGGAACCAGGGTTCTAAGATGTGATGGCTTTGACGAGAATGCGGTACCGCATGTCTGTTATGCAACAGAAATGCGGTCGCATAATTGACCTGGAGGGGCATTTTTGTTCGAAATTAGTCCCGAGTTTTAGCCACTATAAATAGATTTATTGGGGTTTGTGGGGGCAGCATGTCTGGTTTTTGAGCTATATTCCAACCTTTGAATATTCCTCTCTTTTGGAAGCTTTAGGAGTGAAGAATCTTGCACTTTGTAAGCTTTATGGAATTTAATATTCTCATCTTTTTGTATTTTAGCATGAGTAGCTAGCTTTAAATACTAAGGTTGTGGACTCTAAATGGGTGTTATGTTAATGGTTGTTTAACATTGAATATATACATAATGGTTGGTTGATATATATATTTATTTCTCATTCTTCATTTATTGTTGGTGGTTGGAGACATTAACAAGTGCCATTAAACTCTTTCTTTACTTGGAAAAGTGTGTTAGAGTTTGGTAGAAGTAAATATCAAAGACTCCAGGCTTTAAACTTTATTTAATAGAACCGCTTAGGAATAAGTGGGTTTTATTTGGCATAAATTAATTGCTCTTAACTGCAACTCTTTTATATTTGGAAAAATCATAAAAAGGAAATACTACCCAACTATTGGAAAATATTGGGCAGTCATTTAGAAATCATTTGCATATCTAGAGGACCTTCCATTAGAAATATATCATATTAACACCGATAGCATTACATTTCATTGACGAGGAAACAACCTTGGTTTCTTTAATCAAATTATTTACATTCTCATATCACAATTAGGCATCTCGTTAATTCACAACTATAACATTCTCTTGTTACGTTAACTGAATAGAATTACGACTTAAGTCAAGTTACACACTACTCAAGTAAACTTTTCACACCATATTCCCTGTGGGACTCGACCCCAACCTTGTTGGGTTATTATATTTGACATCGATTGCCTTACACTATTTAATTAAAGTGTAATTTGAGCGTATCACCGGGTCTAGAGCTTTATGTATATATATGTATATATATGTTATGAGTAGACTCTGGCCCTGTTCCGATCACAATATATCCGTCAGTAGAGGCTTGTAGACATATCCTGACAGTTAGTGCAGTATGTTGGGCTTGTAGGCCTTTTATGTTTATTTTGTTGGTTTGCCGGCTGTAGTAGTTATGACGGCCTTGTCGGCCCAGCATTATATTGATGTTTAGTTAGTATTTGCAATTGTCTGGCAATGTGGCCCATGGCCAAATTATGACATTATATTTGTTCAGAGTCCCATAGTCGCAAGTTGGTACGCAAGGATAGGTGAGGCACCGGGTGCCGATCTCGCCCCCCAGGTTCGGGGCATGACAAAAGTGGTATCAGAGCAGTTCTGTCCTAGGGAGTCTACAAGCCGTGTCTAGTAGAGTCTTGTTTATGGGTGTGTCGTGCACCACACTTATAAGCAGGAGGNACTGATATAAGCATTGAGAAAGCTCTTCTCATTGCATGCATTATGACCGGGATCAAAATTGATGTGGGTGACATTATCTCCTGAGAGTTAGGGGTCCGGGCCAACCAGACAGCCACGTCACTTCCATTCCCGTGCTTGATCACAGCCCTCTGTAAGGCTGTGGAAGTCCCTTCAATGCCACACACTGACAAGACGGGGAAAGCGCTGAAGGATATTGATATCACGCGCATTAGTGACGCGGTGCCCCAGGCCCCCCCAGAGGTTCAGATCCAGATTCCTGCTCATACAGAGATCCCAGACTCCCAGACTCCTATTTCTCCTCAAGCCACAGTGGCCTCCATTTCCGCTCCACAGCCCACCTCTTAGGCCACCATTGCACAGCCTTCTGTTGCACTGCCAGCCATTTCGAGGCTCGGTCTCTTAGCTCAACATGCAAATGCTAAGGTAGACTGTCTTTTGAAGGACCTCCCCACACTCATCAGGCAGGCATTGACTCCTATCCAGTCCTCAGTGACAGCCCTACAACAGCAGCAAACATCTTATGAGGATCGCCTGAAGCTGCTTGAGGTGCGGATTGAAAAGATAGAGCAGGGTGAGGTTGGAGGCTTGCCAATGCTCCCTGATGATGTTGCCACACTGAAGACTGAACTCCACAAAATGCAAAACCCGGAGTTCGATCTATCCTCCTTCATGCCCAAGGAAGGAGAGCAGGGAGCGGGCACTTCCGTGCCTGGACTAGATTTTGATTTTTCCACCTTGATGACATCTCCTGCACCTCAGATTGTTGGGGCTTCCCAAACTCCAGTTTCCCCTTCAAACATTGACATCCCTTCTGGGGAAGATTCCGGACACTCTACAGAGTCCGAAAGTGGGGAGACAGATGAGGGGGAGACTGATGAGGAGTCAGAGTCCGAGGAGGATGAGGGCCCTCAAGAAAAAGGTAAGCAGGTTGCTGCCCCTACAGTTGCGGAGGAGGAACAAGCAGATGTTCAGAAAGAAATAGAACATTCGCTAGCAGACATGGTCGTCCAAGCAAATCCATCGACCACTCAGCCATCAGCGAGCGAGGCTAGCAGCTCACAGACCCCGGCTCCTGTGTCGGGCCAGTTGGAGATCCCTCCTCCATCATTGGAGGTCACTCCTCAGGCCAAGATCTCATCGGTCCCAGCTTCAGCATCAGAGGGTGACCCCACCATCATTCAGCCAGCTTCTGACTCCCATAGCGCTTAGTGCGCCTCAGGGAGCCCCTAAACTCTGTCTTACATTCTTATGCATTGGGGACAATGCATGCTTTTCAGTTGGGGGTAGGATAGTTGTACAAACTTTTTGAAATCCTTGAATTGTTGTACATATTTTTGTGTTATATAAGCAAATTCTCGGTTACTTTTGTACATACTTGTGTTGTCTTTGTACATATGTTTATCTTGGTATATATATATAAAGAAACCAAAAACAAGTAGATAGTTGGATGCATGTTCATCTTTAGTAATTAGCAATGAATTCCCCTTGGTTTTTCTTCGCCGGGTTCTTTTCCAAGGGTGTAATAGTAGAACCATGGCAGTAGGATGAAACATGTTGATCGGTTTGGTGTAATTGTCTAGTTTCAAGCATGTATGCCTGTAAATAGCCTATACCCTTCCATTAATATATAAAAAAAAAAGAAATCAACAATCTGAACTTGAGGCTTGCTCTTTGACTCTATGTTTGCCTAGAGCTATACATGTAAATATGGTAAAAGCTTCGAGTTTCCAAGTGTTGAATCGAGGGCGAAAACTATGTTGAGTCAAACAGTTCGTGTGCCATGTGTGTGAGCCTTTGTATAAATAATTCTTGTGTTTACATCTGCCATCTAGAACTTGCCCGGTTGGTCTTTCGATGCTAATGATAATTACAATTGGTTGGAGAAATGACCTTAGGCAGTCATTGTGATATTGGAAAACCAGTTAGCCTTTCAAGCTACCCTTTGTATAGATACTATCACTAGTTACCCCATTTGAGCCTTTAACCTTTTCTTTGGCCACCTCATTACAAACCTTTCCCCTTTTGTAAAATAATTCCCTCTTTTGAACTCATCCCTCCTTGAACATTGAGAATGTGGCTAAAAGCCTAAGTTGGGGGTGTGGTGTCAAGCCGAAAATTGGCAAGGTTGTACAATGAGTGTAGGAAAGTATACCTCAAGATATTCATATGAAACTATTCAAGCTCCAAGAGAAAAATAAAAAAAAATACAAGAGAAGAGAAGAAAAAGAAAAGAAAAGAGATGTGTGTATATATATATATATATATATATATATATATATATATATATATATATATATATATATATANTGAGTGCTTAACATTGAATATATATATAATGGTTGGTTAATATATATTTATTTCTGATTCTTCATTTATTGTTGGTGGTTGCAAACATTAACAAGTGCCATTAAACTCTTTCTTTATTTGAAAAAGTGAGTTCGCGTTTGGTAGAAGTAAATATCAAAAACACAAGGCTTTAAACCTTGTTTAATAGAATCGCATAGGAATAAGTGAGTTTTATTTTGCATAAATTGATTGCTCTTAATTGAAACTCTTTTATATTTGGAAAAATCATAAAGAGGAAATACTACCCAACTATTGGAAAATATTGGGTAGTCATTTAGAAATCATTTGCATATCTAAAGGACCTTCCATTAGAAATATATCATATTAACACCGATAGCATTATATTCCATNTATATATATATATATGGAGCCTTGAAGAAATTAGAGAGGTATTTAAGGTGGTTCAATGTGGAAATTAGAGGCTAATGAGGGCTATGTGGTTTGAAAAGAAGCAAAGAGCAACAAGAAAGAAAAATATGAGTAGTGTTCAAGGAGGGTGTAGTCACTTGTACCCAAATGGTTATCCGACCCTTCCCTAGACCTACATTACAAGCTTAAAAAGTCCTTATGGGATCTCCAACCGAACGTTCTTAGAATAAAGCGATGAATTAAAATAAGGGCAAGCTTATGGTATCGCATGTTGTTACACTTGATACTCTTTTTGAGAGTGAGTGGCTTTGCGAATCTGTCCCTTTTGTTGTCATTAAATATTGTGAGTGTGGGACTTCTTTCTAGTGAGGGCGCATGAATTGTGAGGTTGGACAGAAGTTGAGTTCTTGAAGTCGAATGCAAATGCACTCAGCTGAGAGTAACATTTTGTCAAATTGGTTGAGGCTCAAGGTTCACAAGTTGATTAGTTTCTTTGTAAATAACAATGATTGTTCAGGAAAGGTAAATAGATGAAAATGCATGCTTGTAGTACTGATAACAAACAACGTCCACGGTCACTATTGTTTCATTTCGTTTAGCTGGAGTCTAGAATAGGATAGTGTCATTTTAGTTGCTTGAGGACAAGCAAGAGTTTAAGTTGGGGGTGTTGATGTGCCAGAGAATTTCGGCACATTTAATACCAATTGCTTAGATTTTAGCTTGTTTTAAATGAAATTATCTTTTATACTGATGTAATTTTAATGTTTTGCAGTGTATGAGGCTTGAGGACCCAAGAACATGGAAATGAAATCAAAAAAAGCCGCAAAAGGACAAGAAAAAGGCAAAATGCGATCGCAGATGTGAAGATGCGAACCGCATATTGCCCAGAGGAACCGCAAAGCACAACAGTCTGTTGGAAATGCGGTGACATTATGCGGCCGCAAATCAACAATGCGGACCGCATAACCAAGATGCGGCGACTACCTGGAAACTAGGGTTCGAAGATGCGATGGATTTGACAAGAATGCGGACCGCATGTCTGTTATGCGACAGATATGCGGTTGCGTAATTGACCTGGAGGGGTATTTTTGTCCGAAATTGGTCCCGAGTTTTAGCCCACTATAAATAGATTTATTGGGGTTTCGTGGGGGCATCTTGTCTGGTTTTTGAGATACATTCCATCCTTTGAATATTCCTCTATTTTGGAAGCTTTAGGAGTGAAGAATCTTGCACTTTGTAATCTTTATGGAATTTAATATTCTTATCTTTTTGTATTTTAGCATGAGTAGCTAGCTTTAAATACTAAGGTTGTGGACCCTAAATGGGTGTTATGTTAATGGGTGTTTAATATTAAATATATATATATATNATTCTCATATCACAATTAGGCATTTCGTTAATTCTCAACTATATCATTCTCTTGTTACGTTAACCGAATAGAATTACGATTTAAGTCAAGTTACACACTATTCAAGTAAACTTTTCATACCATATTCCCTGTGGGATTCGACCCCAACCTTGTTGGGTTATTATATTTGACATCGACCGCCTTACACTATTTAATTAAAGTCCCAAGAATATGTCAAAAGTAGTCTCCTTAGATCTAAGGTATGTCAAAAGTCCCAAAAATAACGTTTTACATGTATTTATACCAAATAGGGTCGGGCCCAAACGAAACCACCTTCTCCTAGTCGTAATTGGATTGTCACTCTGTAAAAATTGCATAGGCGCGCTGCATGGGGTGACGTGCCACGCGGTGTGGTAGTGGAGTTTATCAGGAAGTGTGCACTTTGAAGGCAGCAACAAAAATAAGGCAGCGGCGGCGCGCCACGTGCCGCCCCACGCGCCGCGGCTGTGAGTTTTTCTCAGAGCTTGCCTTTTTGCTTGATTTTTGAAGTTCAGACGTGGTTCTCGACCCCCGTACACGATCCCGACTTAATTCCTTGGGCTTTTACTCAGACTTCAAAGCTCCAAATAGCTCGATTTCATTCTGCAACATCTACATAGCTCGGAATCGTTCCTACAAGGCATAAAATACATAATTAGTGCAAAACACTAGCGATTAAAGCTCAAACTTAATTAAAGTGCAGTAAATTATAGTGCGATAATCTACTAAAATACGCAATTATAACCTGCCATCACTCTTATTCCTCTTCTTCAGTTGGGTAACATAGTTTCTTCCATGAAATCCGATGGTACTTGCTTCTGTCATCTATATTTCCCAAGAAAAAGTTTACAAAAACTCTTTCAATTTGTTGTAATATTGTCTTATTTAGCAGGCTAACATATTAATAAAAGATGCATTGGCATTGCACTGAGTACATGCTCTATAAGAATAATCCTTCCTCCTATTCATAGCAGCTTAATGTGCCAGACTCCCACTCATTGGATTATTTTTGTAGTCATCTTAGTAAAAACAATACTAGTAGTCCTCTCAGCTTACTAGTATTATAAATGTTTGTATAACTCTTGATTTACGAGTACCGGTTATATCAAATTAGTGGTTTGACTTCTATTGGCTTTATTTTACTATAATTTTTTATATTTTGAATAAATTTACTTTTTTCATTCTTCTAGTTGAATCTCTTTGATGATCTTTTTCTTTTTAGCGGGTTGTTTAATGTGCATTACTGTTGAAATTTTTAATAATCAGGAAAACTGATAAAGAGAAAATTGTTTTTGATTTGAGCATGTGGTTAAAAGGGGTACTATATATGTGATTTTAATTTGTCTAAAAGCTTCTTTTTTTATCATAAGTATTGAAAATAATAATTCTCATGGAGAATCTCAGTAACAGGTACCTAAAATTAAATAGAAACAAAAGCGAAGAACCTCAGTTGATGAGAAGTAATGAAAGGGCATTTAAAAAAAAAAACAAAGAAGGCGCATCGAAGAAAAGTAGCTCACGATTTATTTAAGAAGCCATATATTGTTGGGTTTTATTATTAATAACAAAAGAGGTGTGAATGGAAAATGGTGGGAAAATAAATGGAGGGAAATAAAATTTTGAATGAGTTCACTTTACTAATGCACATTGTCCCTCATTGGTAGAAGGAAAGGAAATCTTTGTGTATATATAAAGAATCTCATCTTTTAGCTCTTAAAGAGTTAAGAAGAAGGCAAGCCTCGCGCCGTCGCTCGCTTGGCTCGACTTCGGCTTCGGCTTCTGCTTCGGATTTGGTCAACGATTGATTGATTAATCTTTTTGGACAAAATTCTCTTCAAATAATTAATTAATTATTAAATTAATTGACGAAATTTCAATCCGGAATAACCCATGACCCGCGACCCGGTCCGGTCCGGTCCGGTCCGTGTGTTTTACAGCCTTCGAGTGGTTCGTTGTTCATCGGCGTTTTTGGTACCAACACTCTGGTGAGTTAAATCGTTCTATCTTGGGAGGATATATTCTAGAACCTCGGGTACTTGAGGGGAATAATTTCCTTAAGGACACACTGTGTATTCAGTGGGCTCGATTTATTCCTATACTATTTTCA